AAAGTTATCTCCTTCACCAGAGTACCATTTTCAGAAATCTCCTAGGGGTGTTTCAGATGTCCTTCATATAGTCTCCTTCATCTTCTCTTGGGTACCACTGTCTTCCATTTCTAATTTGGCTCTGTAGGCAAGAACTCCCAATGGCCAGAGTACCTCTACTGTTTGCCAGGACCCAATCAGCTCACACTGCGGGCGTGATCTGGCCTTGTAGCCGCTCCAGTTCTCACCCCGGGAGAGAAAGTGCTCTTGAAACTCCTTCTCCCTTCCTGTGTTGTACTCTGATATACAAGTCTGACAGCAGTGCTGGTTGATAAATATATTTTAGTGAAACAGCTCCTCCTTTTTAATTCCTAGCTTTTTAATCTCAGCTTTTTTTCATGGTGTGGCTGGAACCAGCTTGCCGGCTAAAAGCTTGAAATCAGCCACGGTGGATTTTCACACCATGGAAATCAGCAAATTCTACAAATCAGGACTTTTTTTTTTTTTTCCATAGAGAGCCATTTATCGGCACAGCACTGGCTTTCTCTGTCTGTCATGCCCTTCCTCCAAGACTCTGTGACCACGGAAATGGGAAAATAATTGGACTGACAGGATAATATCCTTTTCCAATCCTGACTGTATTTTAGACCTAAAAATCTCTTTCCCTAGGACACCCCATGCCCCCCACTTCTCAGAAGACTCCTAGGTTCTTAGTGAAAACAGAATCCATGTGGCTCCCTCTACCCTAACAGAGGTCCCAGACCCTCTCCTCCCCTCACATGGAGTTAACATGATTTTGGCTGTAAGTCTGATACCACTAGACCCTTACTTCCCTCAGGGAGATAAGATACAGAGACCTCTTTGTGTACCATCATCCCTGAACATGTATCTTCCAATTTTCCAGACATGCATCAGAAAAAAAAAGCACAGTTCAGGATCTCAGTCTAGGCTAACCAGTGTTACACTTTCATGCTTAACTGCAATGAACCATTGGCCAACTTGCTAATTGCTTTCTCTTCAACCTCTTCCCATTTCCCATACCACCAATGTAAGGGCAATTGAATAGGATGAAGAAATCATTTTAATACTTGGGCGCTGGAGAAGAAATAACTAGAAGTATGATAATTTCTAATAGAAGAATGATTTTCGGGGGAGGGTACAGCTCAGTGGTGGAGCGCATGCTTAGCATGCACAAGGTTCTGGGTTCAATCCTCAGTACCTCCATAAAAAAATGACTTTGATATAACTTAGTTCTTTTGAACTGTTTGGTAGGTTTCATATCTTATGCCATGCCTTCAGGTATTAAAGAAGGACTAAAGCATTTTACTTTAGTTAAACTAATTAAAATCTTTAAAAATTCAATATGCCAACTTCCATGACTTCAGTTAAATGCCTTAATTGCATTATGTCACTCTTTAAAATGAATTAAAATCCAAAGTATTATAAATTTAGTTAAAATATTATAAATATAGTTATAAATTTATTGTGAACCTTACCCAGTATAGCAACATAATAAGGTTAGTGAAATTAAAGTTAGTGAGAAGAAATACCAATTTCTTTTTTCTTTTAAAAAATAGAATAATTTCCACTACTTACTTTATCTCTACTGATCAGTACTAAGCAATCTCATGCTTCTTCCCAAATGGCAGGTAGTTGAAATCTGGACTCTCTGACCCTGGTATATCTAATACAGCGTGAGGGGCATCCATGTTTACAACCTACAACACCCATAATGGTCAGCATCTTTCAAACATAAAATTAGTGATATTAACAATGTCTCAGTAAGATTTCATGTTTTTGGCAGATTTATTGCACAGCCTCTCTGTGCCAGGCACTGTGCTATACCAGAGGCATAAAGTGATAAACTAGACTGTCTTGGTCCTAACGGGGCTTCAGTCTTGAGGAGGATGTAGACACATAATCAGTTGCCATGGCCTTGAATAGGGGAATGTATAGAGAAGGGACAGTGATCTGTCTGGGAAGCAGAGCAAGAAAGTTTACCAGTCTGTGCATAAATTGCTTCAGCTACTGTTTACCTTGGGCTCAGAGGTGTCTCCACACCCTGTAAAATGAGAAGCGTAGGTGAAAGATGCCTGATCTTTGTCGACCTTTAGCCAACTCTCCTCTCCCCATGCTTCTTAGTGTTTAAGCCATCACCACTGAAACCTGATTGGGACACTTGGCTCTGTGCTTGATGCCATTTCTTCCCTTCAGTATTTGGAGATGATGCAAAAGAGATGATCTAGTTTGTGTCTAAACCCCCCTCTTAGAGGTGTGCTATATAGTTATACTACGTTACCTCTTAGCTTTCTTTTTATTCAGAATTTTTAGTTCCTGACTTTACGAAATTACCCTTTGTACATATTTCCCTTCCTTGTAAAATGAATAGTGAAATTTACTTCATCCTAACATTAAGATTGATCATGTAATCTCCATTTAAAAGAAACGGATTTCTGTCAAAATAACTTTTCAGAAATATGCAACCATCAAAATTCGATATGGTAAGACTTCTCTATACATGGCAGACTAAACTCTTCTAGAACATTGTGGAGAAGCATTTAGAGTAGGATGTCAACGTCCTGCCTGGTTCATTAGAGTGGAAATACCTCTTTTAGTAGAGCATTGCCTTCTTTTTGCAATGATGTATTTCTGAAAGATGATCTTCAAAAAGTGTGAGCATTCTTTGTTCTTTTCTCCATAATGATTTTGGAAGAACAAATTGTTTATGTATGTAGGCCAAGTATGTTTTCTTACCATGCATTGTTTTAAGCATTAATTATGCTTTAGTTATTTACTTAGCTTTATTCTTTGCCCATCTGACTTCTTCTCAACAAAAGAACAATTGTTAATTCAAATTATTTTGGAAATGTCCTAAAAGTCATTCAAAATATTGTAACTAGGTTTAACACATCATATGGAACTGCTCACGAAGTCTTTATAGTTAACTAATGACCTATTCTCTTTGGATGCATGAAGAACAGAATCAAACAGGTAACTTCAGAGGCCTTGTCTGTGTAAACCTTACTTCTGTTCCTTCTGGCCTAACTGTAACTCCCCCACAAAAACATCCCGCATAGAAAACACCACTATTTGCAGCCTGTCCTAGATTCTTACAGTAGGAAGTATAGATGTAGTTGCAGACGCTTAACAAATGACCTCCTCTTCAGAGGGCAACCTAGAGGAGACCAACTAAATGGTGCCCTAGCAAGTTTTCAAGTTTGAAAGGTGATTGTATTTTTTATGTTTTTGCTAGTGGCTTATTAACCTTCTTAAGATTTTCAAAGGAAATCATTTTTAAATAGCAGTTGATAAACAATCCAAATGACTTATAGAGAGAACTGGATGGTGAGGATCATGAAACACTGGGATGTGTTTTGAGGGTGACTTCAAAATAAACTACTCAGGGGACTTCGAAAAGAGAATCTATATCCTGTTAATAATGCCATTAACAGCGACAGAGTGATGTGGGGTGGTCCTTCAGGAGACAAGGAAATGTAGAATGACTGCTTAGGGTTTCTTCAATTTTGAAATTCTAAGACAAATGACTATATATTTCTTAAAACTGTTCAGAACACGGCTCAGGGCCCAGGTTTTTCAGTTTATGAAAAGGCTTATAAAATTTATTTGGTTACTTCTAACAACAATCAGTAAGCCTAAGCAAGGCAGAGATCTGCAACTCATTCTCACGTTAGGGGTTAGGCCTTGAACACGCTGGTTTCCAAACCTCAAGTTGGTTTGTGAACTTGGGCAGAAAGATCCAGAACTGTTGCCGAATGGAGAAAGTGCTATGCCCCAATTTCTCTACATACACAGTCCATTTGCTTTACAACCTCAAAGCCTGATAAAGAGGGAGTGCTTCATCTTGTTTTCTGGGTGGACAGTGTTTGCCATGCACATGGAATACAGGCAGGTGGAATTTCATACCGTGCTAAATCACAGCATTCTGAAAAACTCGAGGTCTCGCAAAAGGCCATATCTCAAAAAAGTTACTGCTTCAAATAAATGTGCCATTTTTAAAATTACACCTACTGTATCAGAAAAAAGCATTCTTTCATGTGAGTGACATTTATATGACTGCCATTTATAGAGAATAGGACATTCTCACATGGCAAGGCTGAAGAATTGATTTTGAAAGCTGAGAGTATTCTCTGAATGATAAATGTGGTGGAAGTCAAGATACTCGAGTGGGAGAAGCCTCTCCACAACTGGCTAGTTTCCCTATAAAAGTGAACCCTGCCTAATGAAGAACATTAGTTCGTTACACTTAACAGCACTGATGAGACTTTTAATGTATTTCATACCTGCAAGCATTTTTAGTCGTGGATTTTGCACCATGTTAAGAGTTGGACTTTGTGGCTGCTCTGGTCCAAATGCCTTCAATTTTACATGTATGGGAACTGAGGCTGAGGTGTTGAGCTTCTACTTAGAACCAATCCACCCCCTCACCTATTCTCCGTCCAATTCATTTTTCCTTTACATCAGTCATCTTTTAAAGAAAGTTCCTAAATTACTATCTGGAGGAAAAACTGCCTTCTACCTGCCTGTGGACAAACAGGGAACCAAGGCTTTATTTAATCTTCACAATAAATTACATCCCAAACAAGATTTCTCAGGAAAAGCGATCAATCGCTTAACTGCTGAAGGACAATCCAGATCAAGGATGGAAGCGGTTGCATAGCTCAGGACAAATTTTCAGCTCTTGGTCAAGTAGCGGATTCATATCTGAGATTATCTTTATCCAAAAGTTGAGATAAAGAGAAGGATCCAAACCCCTAAGACTTCCTCCTTCGGGCTCCTCTGTACCCTGGGGAAGCGAGGAGCGATAACTCCAGTAAGCAAGACGTTTGCTGAATTGCTAAACTAACGCGCCACACCCTTGGGTGGCCTGGCACCCTTCTTCCCAGGGCGAGCAGGTTTGCGGAGCGGGGTCCCGTGAGCTGGGGCTCGAGTGAGCTGAAGCTAAGGGAGGGCAGCCGCGTGGCGAGAGGTGCAAGGCGACAGCCGGCAGCAACGTGACCCACCTGCGGGAGAGGCGCCTCGGAGGCGGCGGTGGTCCAGCGCGGCTGCTGCCGGGCGCGCCGAGGGAGGGGG